AAGAGTTATGAACGAAAGCTTTTTTGTTTTGCTTCTTTTCCTAGAGCTCGCTTTGTTTAGGAATAACTCCAGCTAGCATCATTGTAATGCTTCCATTTCTATCAACAGTTTATCAGTCGTGGTTGAGAGAGTTGCAACATTTCCTTATTTACCACATAGACTACTTTGTAGAAATATCTAAGGAAAGCAGATTTTTTTAAACAATAAAGAGCATATAGTAACATTCCTTGCTTGAAAGTAAGGACATATAGGTGCCACCTCTGCCACAACTAGGTTACTGCTACCAGTGCCACGAGAGCTGACAAAACCCATTTCATTATGAAGTTCACTCATTTAGAAAGATTACTGGGCACACATACCTAGAACCAGTCAATATCAGTGCAACCATTTCACAACTAGGGAAAAAATTCAGAGAAATGGGAAAGAGGAGAAACTCCAGAGAAGGTGGGTATAAAAAAGAGAAGTAAAAGGAAAATGATTGACAAGTTTTACTGCTCACACCAATTAATTAAAGCAACGCGCTTTGTTACACACATGCATCAGAACTGGTTTACACACCACTATGCATACCTGCTACAGGTGAATTTGGAAACATATCTGTAAACTATTTAGCAGAAGGTTGATTTGACAGGATTCACTCACAGTTGTTTGAAGCTGGAGGGGTGAACAGAAATAGCTTGGTCCTTCTTCTTAGACCATACCTAGAGAGCTGTTCCCTCATCAGGAAGACCCTCACACCGAGAGTCCTAACAAGGCCTCTTGTGGTCCTATCACACATATTATTTAAATCTTGACCAAGTTGTTGAAGAAACTGTTGAGATGAGGCTGAGCTGCCAATGGGAAGTGTGGAACACATAGTTTTAAGTCTTTTTGTCAACAATGTCATCAATGTCACCCTCACGAGATCAGTATACAGACAAAAAGAAGCTATCTGATGTCAATGCAAAGCAGAGCAAGCCAACACTTCAGGAGCATGGATTGGCATAAACGTATGGTAATTACTACTTTCTTTCAGGACACACAAAGCTACAATTGAATTTTAATGGTATTTTACAACTGGCTGATCAATGTGATGCAAAATCTTAACAGTAGATGGGTCAAACAGGTGTGTTGCTGAAGGAGAACTTGATTTATTCTATTTAATTTACATTTTTTTTAATGCAAAGCCCATGAGAGTGAAATTAGTTACTTGAAAAATTCCTAGATATGATTTCAATGAAGTTTATTAACTCGAGGAGATACGTAGTCCACTGGTGAATGCAGACATACAATTCAGAGAAAATACATTTTGATACCAATGTGCTAAATAGCTTGAATAGGATGGGAAAATCATTAATTACAAATTGCCCACAGGAGAAATATCCTCTGTGGAATAATTGCTATCGTTACATGATGTACCTGGAAGTAAATTGTTTTCTGTGCTATTAGATTCAGAGCTACAACATGGAAGTTCTTCTAACACACAGAAAGATGAGAACACAAAATTGCTCCTAGCTCCTACCTAAAGCATGATGATCCCAAAAAAAACATAAGTGAAAAAAGATGAGAGATTATAAACTTGAAGCTGACAGAATTTCCGCTGCAGCTGGATATGGATTTTGGAATATGATTTTGGAACTAATAATAATGCCCTGTTAAAGTTAAAATGTTAGAGCTACCGCAAAGCTTTTTTAATTGAAATAGCTTTCCTTCTCCAAGTTCTCCACACGTAGATATCACACACACGCTCACATGTAGAAACAAAACCAAACCTGCAAATGAATTAGCTATTTCTCCCACTGGCTGAAAGGAACAGAGATTACTTTTGTGATCAGTATTTTTAAGCACTTGGGAAATACGCAGATACCATGGTCACAGCGTTCACATAAATAAATAAGAGGGTGGGGTGCATGGAAGAAAGGAAGCAAAACAGAGAAAGAAGGGGGAAGGGAAGCAAAGATGGAAAAATAAGCTGAAATGCTACACCCCCAACAGTCTTCATGACGCATCAGGTATAACAACAAATTCACTCCAACAAACACACCCAAAGAACTGTTCATTTAGGGAACATTTAGGGAATTTAAACAGAAATAATATTAATAGTAGGAGTAAATAAAATTTAGTTCAGGTAATTAGACAATCAGATGAGCAGGTATCAACTGAAGGTTAAGTACTCTATTACTTAAGCTCTTATGACCATGAAGCATTAAAAGTTTTGAAATCCCATAAAGGTGAAATTCAAATAAAATAGAGTGCAGAGGAACAAACAGAAAACCTCTTTTACAACAAATATACCTGAAGGGAAACTCTAGCCCCTCAAGCACTCAAATGTTTCTGAATTTATTAGCACCACTTTCTCTGCTGGTTGTTTTCTCTCTAATCGTGGTCGTCATGTTTAACAGCTCAGTCTATCATTTCTGCAAATTAATGAAATTGCACTATTGCTGTAGGTTCTGATCAAGACTGATGTGCAAATAGATCTGTGGGTCAAGCTACAAATGGATCTTGTAAAAGAAAAGGATGGGGAATGTTTGTGGTTTAGGTCCGGTTTCTTTTGCAGTTGAACAGTTTTTGTTCTTTCCTGCCTTACAGTCTTCTGTGGGCTCACTGTTTGTTGCAATGTATTTCAAAGGTAGGAAAAATGGTCTCGTTATTCACAAAGCTGACTTCTGAAGTATTTTCTTAACTAAAGTTAATGACACTTTTACTTCAGTAAGTATTCAAATACAGATTTTTCAAAGGATACCTGCTATTTTTCCTTTTGAAAAGCTCCCCTTTGGTTTGAAGCCTGTCCAAGGTACAGTCTTAACATAATACTGTCATGACCCAAAAGTATTTTGGGGAGATCTTTCCCTGCAGTTTCAGGGTGATCTCTTTTCAAGTTTTGATTGTAGGGTAGGTCAGACATAAGCTCAAGGGGTCTTTTTCGCCAGTTCTGGACCATCAGTGAACAGTGAGTTCTGTTCCCGTTCTCACTCATCCTAGCTTAACATGGCAAGAAGAATATCAGCATCGAGAGGATTTCTACTTTGCTTTGGTCTCTCTGGAAAATTATATATTTGCAGTAGCGTAAGCAAAGTAGAGATTTGGATATTAACATGGCAATACTTTGCTACTTTAGGCACAATTTATTCCTACTTCGCATCTGAACCCGACTCTAACCTAACTTAAACAAGAGTTTCAAAGGTTTACTTGCAAATAGTTACATGCATCTTTAATGGTCTTTGCTCTCATGTTCACTGTCACTTCCTTTCCACACATTTTAACTCTGAAAGCTTTTGACTGTTTCTTCATTATTTATGACATTGTTGTGTCTTTTCTTGTGAAATTAAAAACTTCTTTCCACAAAAAGCTAGCTAATAATATGACGCATAAATCTTTCTTTCACAACATTTCATTCTATATATGTGCCAAAAATAAATAAATGACCAAATCAAGGCTCCCGACCATGCTTGGCATCTGACCAGCTTAATGCACGGAAAGGTTGAGATTACCTAAATACAGAAGCTAAAAGAGTTTGCAATTTATTGTATCGTCAGCACCCCACTGTCTGGAAAAAAAAAAAAAAAAAGAAAAAACCCAATAACACACATTCGTTTTGATACACTCACTGCTCCGATTAAATGTAGTGCATTGCAGCTGCAGGGGAAAGACTAAATGAAAATAAAGTACAAACAGATCTTTGAACATATCTCCCATCGACTGGTCATATAATTAAAAAAATACCATTAACTCTGCCTATATAAAACACACAGAACAGTATCTTTCACTCACAGTATCAAGGTTGGCCGCACATTGCTATATTTGCAGTACCGTAAGTACATAAGGTGTTAATCCTCCTGGGCTGTGCTCAAAAATTATTTAACATTCAGACTATTATTTAGCATACAGCTGGTTAGCAGTTTTCCCCTAAAATGTTGGCTTTGATCCCACATTTTTTTGTTCTGGCACATACCTGGAGCTGTAAAGGGCTGAGTCCAGAAGCAGCAGCAGCTGCCATTGTTGATGGAATGAACTGCACAGGGTAGTTATCACCTGTCGGGAGAACAATGCGTGCAGGTTCAGACAATGAGCAGAGAATAGCAGCAGACAAGTGCAAACACGGACCTAGGATTGCCTGTGCTCCACAGCACTCCTCTAAGCCCAAACATCTGCAAAAACAAAAGGCTTCGCTGGGCACGGACTTGCCATGCTCCCTTGGAACTTTTTTGTTAGCAGATAGCTGGTAGGCAAACTGGCAAAACATAAACGTGATACTCGTGATTTTCATTTTCAAAAGCAAATCAAGCATGTAAGCTTGGGCACAAAATGGGCCTTAAGGCCATAGACACACAGACAAGGTACCCTAGGAAACCCCAGTTCCCAGAGGAAAAAAATTGTCGTTGCCACATGTTTCTTAAAAGAAGAGAAATTTGTTACAATCCAAGAAATTTCAGTCCTGTCTAATGCAGGGTGGTTTCTTTTCAGTATCGAGTGGCTCTTTCCTGGGAAAGCTACTGACTTGGCTCAATACAGGTTGAGATTGTTTCTTGTTTTACTTTGAGGTTCCCTGTCCTGGGATAACTCCTTTAAGGTAGCCATAGAAAAAAAACAGAATTAAATCACTTTTAAAAATAGCTTGAAATATGATTTTATTTTTCTCTCAGATCTGGGACCCTGTTGAAGTTGATAGATTAGGTAGTTGTTCAGTTACATGAAGAGTCATGCACTAAAATTTTTGTGTTTTGTTCACTGGAAACTGAAAATGTGTGCCCTCTGTATGGAGGGGACAACAAATACTCCAGAAAATAAGAGATACTATTGATCCAAAATAAGCTTTGCAGCACTATGTTTTACAGCATCTATGAGTGTTCCCAATTCTAAGTCACTGCAACAATGCATCACGCAGTGCCACTGAGACTCTTAGTCAATGTAAAGAATGAAGCAAGGCTGAAACAATTAAGCAGTGCAATCCATAATACAAAAATTAATACAGTGATGTAGAAATTACACAATAAGTATGATTTAATGGAATATCACTTTAGTTCAAGCTGCTTATTTAAAGTCAATGTTAGGTACCATACGTAGACTACATTTTAACAGGCTGGTCCTCAGTATCTTTTTGAGATTTACAAAAATATTTCTGTTTTACATGAACTTTTCCACACTGAAAGCAGAATGTAGCAATGGGGGGAAATATAGAAATCCAAAATAATATAATCAGGACATTCTAAGTGTTCGATTTTTTCTTTGTTAACTCCCTCAAATAAATAACGATAGCTGAAGTTTTTGCAGTCACTGGATTACTAAGAACTCTCCCTTTTTATCACCTGAAGTGCTATTGTATTCAGCTCAGTTTAAACGTTCAGTTGTTTCACTTTTTTAATAAATTGTACATGTCTAATCCACAAGGTCTCTTTGCATCATATCCATAATACCTCATCAGACCATTGAGCACAGTATGTGCTTGTACACAGTCCAGTAACAATTGGATTCTGATTGCATATGGAGCTCTGCTACAATGCATTCACTACCACTATATTGTACTGGTGTCCTATGGCGTAATGTTCAAAATATCTCCTCTTATTTTCCCCCTTCCATGAGGTTGATTTTAGTTTGCAATGATGTTGGGTTTTTTTTCTTTTAAAAAAAGCAACAAAAAAAACCTAGATCCTTTTCTTAAAGTACTAAAGCTGTCTCTTTATGGTTAAATAATTCTACTCATCTCTGTGATATTTATATGAAATTATCTGAATAAATAAGATCCTAATCTAAGTTAAATAATGTTTCTTTCAGAAATATCTTACAAGGTTTTTAAAAAAAATCACAAAGATGTTGAATTAATGATGCTTTAAATGGGGAGGAAAATAACCATCCGAGTTATCAGCATGGACTGCCTTGCAGAACATTTCGGAGGCATTCTTTCTTTAAATATCATGAATTATTCATTCCTGTTCCACACAGCAATCTCTTCTTTCTGCCTCCCCCTCCACATACACTTTTTAAGTTCAATACCAGTTGCTTTATTTGTACTAAAACATTTTCCATGTCAAACATATTTAAAAAAAAAAATCAAACTCTAGAAGAATTCCCTGTGGCACTCCTTTTTCACAGCTGTCATGCTCCTATGGTTTGAAATAGCCAGATATTTTATAAACACATGCACACACACACACAAACACACACACACACAAGAGTTTTTGGCTGCGCAGTTAAATTAATAGTATCTCTACCACACCCTGTAGAGATCTCTTGCTCACCTGCTGGCTACAGTTCTTTGTTTTGGTATGGGAAAAATAATTTTATAGTTATGCCATTTACTTGTTATTAAAATATAATGCTGTCCCTTTCCTCCTCATTTTAATATGTTAAATAAAGGCTAAGTCCTGGTATGTTAGCAGTACCACTGTGCTGAGAACAAAAATTATTACTCTTTCAGCTCTGGAGTACTTTGCTGACACCGAACAGTAAAAGCAGAGCCAAGGTACTTTCTTCTCCCTTGAGGAAACTGAGCATGCAGGGAATGCACTGGTTTTAATTTTTAATTACAGAAGGTACGTATTTCCCCCTCTCATTTTCTCAGTGCAAGAACGAATTGAGAAGCGTCTCAGTAGCTGCCTTGGCAAGAAATCAGTCAACGTATTGCAGTAATTTTTTTCAAATTTGTTTCTTGATTTGGAATGCTTGCGTGAGGATCTATTCTTTTAAATTTGTACAAAAGGCAGCAGAACATGTTCAAACAGGTCTGCTTTAGGTACTGGTATGTGCTGGTCTTTGATAACCAGGAGTGGGAAGAATGCCAGAAGAAGAAAATCCGTCACGTTTTGCAAACTGATCTCTTCAATCTCCTTACTGCGCTGATTGTCTATTTACATTTGGCTGCTGTTGTTTATACATAAATTGGTGTTTACAAGCCATGGAAAAGTATGCCAGACTTCTGTTTCATTTGTCAGGTTGAACAACATCTCCAAATGAATAAAAGCAGCAAGCAATTGTACCATACTATTCTACATAGAAATAATGTAAATGTTTCTTTTTGTGTTGGATGAAGCAAGGAAGCTTAGTGGACTTTATTTATAGGATGTATGGACTTACTTTCCAGATCAAGGCTTTGTGAGCTGTGAGGAAAGAAGGATGTCTGGCTCTTGTGAGATTCAGGGTAGGGGGAAGGTGTTGCTTTATTTACCCATCTTTCCTAAAACCCAATTGTAAGACACAAACTGACACTCCTCATCTGACATAGAAAGTTTTCGGTTTGATGATGGTTTCCCCATTTTGGGATTGTAACGTCAAATCTGTCTCTTCACGCACAGATCTCAAACTGCCACTTGCACACTCTCCATGTGTACTCACAGAGTAACGGGAAACGGAGTTGGAAGAGATGTAAGAGATCACAAATTCCAGGCCCCTAGTCTCCTAGGCATAACGAACTGACCGAGGAAAGCGTACCTCTCCTCAGGCTGTTGTCAGGCTACAGCAACGATACAAATGCCCACTCCTGCAGTATTCCCACACAAGCCATGCATTTTGTTTGTGCAGAGGCATCAGGATTGAGGAAGATGTTAATAGAGGTAACTGGCTAAGGCAATGCTACAGAGCATCTCCTCTGTCTGATGACACTACCTCAGTTCTGCCTTTGTTCTGAGCAGGGCTTGTCACGACACTACCTTATTGCCATCCTCATGTCCTGGCAGAAGCGGTTTCCCCAACAATTGTCTGTCTGCTGGTAAAGAACTTCAGTGCAAATCCCAGTTGAAAATATTCAGCTGCCTACTACCACTTCCAGCTCTTACCTCAACATTTAGGAGTGAAGCACATAGGATTGCTACAACAGATCCTGAGGTTACGGATTCCTTGTTCCAACCAATAAAACCCAACAGGAAACACATGACAGACTTTAACTCAGTTCTGGGGAATTTCCATTAGAATAAGACTCATGCAGCTCCTCTGCCATGCAAAGACACATAGACAACTCAGTACACAGTTGATTTGATGTACACTTTCTCTTCTCATCTGCCAAGAGGAACAGCAGCCTGCTGAAAATACAGTACTGTGCTATGTAAAACTCAAACCACCTTACAGCTTTAAGAAAAACTTCTGAAAGGCCTGTTCCAAATGGAAACGGCAATGATGGATATCAGTGAAATCCAGCAGATCTAAGATTATGTTAGTTATGTGGATTAGCTACTGTAATCAATTAGTTTAATTAGCTTAATGACAAATATCTCACAGTATTGGAATGTTCTGAGGTCCAGCTGGATGACAAGAAGCCTGACAGTTTTGGTTGTCATGCTTTACCTAATTTTATTTTCATTGATTTCAAAGGAGTTACCATTGATTATAAGGGTATAAGCTTAGTCAGGAGAGGTTCAGGTTGGATGTTAGAAAGAATTTCTTCTCTGAAAGGGTTGTCAGCCACTGGAATAGGCTGCCCAGGGAGGTGGTTGAGTCCCCATCCCTGGATGTGTTTAAGAAAAGGGTGGATGTACTGCTTAGGGACATGGTTTAATGGGGGATTAGGGACGGTTGGACTGGATGATCTCTAAGGTCTTTTCCAACCTAGAAATTCTATGATTCTATGATTTGCCCCAGTGCAAGTAGAAACAGAATCAAGTCAAAACGTTGGCTCCATTTCTCACTATTTTTGCCATGAGCCTAGAAAAACAGTCTCCATTTTCACAATTCATTGTATTGCCAGCAAGCAAAATCTCTTGTATATTATTTTTGTGTATAAAGCAGAATGACCTAGATAGGCAGAAAGGAGTTGTTTCTTAGCCATTCTAATCATGGTCTTTACATACTTTATGCACGAAATATGAAGAAATGCTTTGAAAATACACTGCAGCATATCACTCTACAAATCCTTTTAAATAGAGGTTTACAATCTTCATACCTCAATGTCTCTATTTTCAATAACCTTTTTCAGAGATACTTTCCACATCTGGTAAAAAACTGATACAACACAAAATATTTGCAGAAGACCGTCCAGTAAAAGTGGTCATTCCCTTCCAAGTCACATGGACTGCCGTTATGCAGCCAGCATGGACAGCAGCCCCGCCAACCTCTGCTCAGAGCAAACTGTATCTCTCTTTGAGCTCTGCTCAAAGAATGATCTGGCTCCTGCCCAACATTACTTTATATCTTTACTCCATCATCATCCTGCTTCCCCATTCCCTCTTAACCACGGAACTTGAAGGAAGTAGTGCTTTAGGCACTGAAAGATGGAGGAGGGAACTGTCTTCCTCTTTATCCCACTCACTGTCTTCTCTTCTTAACCCAGGGCACTAACGGGGACACACTAATCATATTCAAGGATACTCTAGCCCACTAACTTTTCCTGGATGCGTGTGGTTGGTTAAGTGAAGGGAAATTTGCAATGGGAGAGGAGGTATAATGGTACTTATGTTACCCACCAGTTCCAAGTAGTGAGTATAGTGGTCACAGTCAGAAAGCCAGTGCAGTTGCCTTGCTGTACTTAGAATGCAAAATAATTATATTAACTGCGTAGCATCTCTGGGCAAGTATTAGCTTCCTAACAGCTGCCACTCTCAGCTTCCCACCGGAATAAGTGGCAACCCCCACAACCAGGTACTCTACGAGGCTTGTCAAGCGCCTGCAGGTCAGTAGTCACAACAGTCATTTGAGATGCACAGCGCCCTAAAGTTTTAATTAATCCAGTATACAGAATAAATACTGAAATATGTATAAAAAATTAATTAGGTGGTCTATGCAGCTCTGATTTCTCAATTAGTACTTACCATGCCGGAAAATTATATTACATGACTTTGAGATACATAAGGAAGCATGGGACTTTGGGGATTTTTTTTCTAATGTAATTATTACTTGTCATCAGCCCTTGCTAACTTTGGTCTGTTTCACCTCCTAGAGCTCCAAAATGTGGGGGGAGAGCTACAGCACCTCATGTTATAGATCCCACTAGGTGGTAGGAAACTCTGTGCTGTCAGGTTTTGATACAAATGATAGCAGTATATCAGCAATTACTTAAGTTTTCTATTCATAATGACTCTCTGAGCTCAGGAGCAGCTAAGGCATGTGCTGGAAGGGCCTCAGAACCTAATAAATTCTCCTCTCTTCTGCAGGTCCTTCCATTAAAGGCACAATCTAGTGTAGTTTGGTATAAGAATACCACTTTCTTACTTCAAGGCATAGAGTTTAAGTGCAGATTTGAAACAATAATTGGTAACTGCCATCTTGGAATAACAATCTAAGCAGCCATGAATTTGGTTGCCACCTAGCCCATGAAGATGTACCTGCATGAACACGTGCACATAATCGTATCCCCACTTGTGCACCAAGGCAGGACTTCTCAGCTTGGCTGCACTGTCACGCTAACAGTGATAAGCCACTTCCAAGTCAGAGCTGTCTTATATCTAGCTCATTTTGCGGGCAAAGCAAATTAAATGGCTGTGTGCACACAACATTTGACATTCTCTAAATGACACAGTCAGTTCAAAAGCACTCGGTTCTCACAGCTTCTATTGTTGAAATCCCTCTCTCTGTATTTTCTCAATGTCAAGGAAAACTGGCACTGTCAAAACTCAGATTTGCCTGCATCAAACTAAAGTAAAATGAAATATAAAGTAAACAGGCAGCCAAAAAGAAAATGTTAAGTTTCTGAAGGGTTAATCTATTTCCCATCTTTCCTCAGAAGTATAAGCGAGTCTAAACTGACAGTTCTAGAGGTGAAAGTTTCATTTCTCACAAAAGTAGAAGAGTACAGGTAGTAGCAGTCAAGTTCATAAATATTCCTCAGA